AAAAAAAAAAAAAAAAAACGACTGAAAAGTAGCTAAAAAAGCTGAAAGGAGCTGAAGTTACCAGTAGGAAGTGGAGAGAGCACATTTTTGTTGAAATAGCCTGAAAAAAGTTGAAATTACTGTAAAAAAAATTGTGGAATTAGCTGAAAAAGCTTAAATTAGCATAAAAACAGCTAGCTTAGCTGAAACTTTCAGAAATGAGCTGCAAGGAGCATAACAAGCTGAAATTAGCAGAAAGAAGTTAGAAGAAGCAAAGAAAATGTCATAGTTAGCAAAAAGATGAACAAAGGAGCACAAAACAGCTAAAAAAAAAAAAAAAGCTGCTGAAATTAACTGACAGTAGCTGGAAAGAAGTTTAAATTTCCACAAGGAAGCTGAAAAAGCTGAACCAGAACAAAATGTGAAAGAAGAAGTAAAAGTCTGTAAACAGGTCTAAAGATGTGAAGCATATAAGATGAGCTCAATTCAAAAAGTGAAAGAAAAGGCTAAATATTTCAAAAAGCTAAAGTTGCACCAATACCAAAAGTCATAACAGGATTGTCCTGAAAGAGCTGAACCTTTTGATTTATGATTTGTTGAAATAGCTTAAAAACAGTGGGACGAGAAAGATGCTGAAAAATGTACTGAAGAAAAATGGATCACAACAGGGTGGATGCTTCATAAACATTCACACTAATGTGTAAAAAAAAAACGAGTCAACAACAAATAATTCACCGAAGTGTTTTTCTGACACGATGCGTGACTCTGGGATCAGGGCTGAGTTCACATGATCCAGGGTTGCCAGATAGAAAATGATGAAAAGTCGTCCCGTTGCGTTAAAACGACCGTGTTTGACCCAATTTAACACGAGCTGATCATTAGACGTGTTCAAGTGAATAAAACAAAAACTGTCTGGGCTTTTTACAAATTATCCTGTATCGTAGTAACCTTTAAATTACCCTTTAAATACAATAACTACATGGCAACGCAGCTCAAACCAAGTGATGGGAATTGAATTTGTTTTATCTTTTAAAGAAGCTGATGACTCTTCTGTCCAACATGACACAGGAATAAATAATCTTTTACAAAATGCTCCGTTTGTTCTAACAACAAAAGGAAAATGTTCTTTCTGCAGCGAACAACGTTTTGCTGTCGCACTCCAAAGTGGATTCATTTAAAATATTAAAACCTTTATTTCAATAACTCAGGAGTCAGTGATCTATTCATTAAGAATTACAATAAATATCTGTAAATTACTGCTATCTTTAAGGTTTTATTATATTTTAATAAATAAAAATTAGCACGCATGACTTTTAATTCTTTAATGTGGAATTTATTTGCTTTTATTTAAAATAAACTTTTTTAATTGATGTGCTGAAAATCTTAAATTTTACAGTTATTCAAAACAATATGTTCATGTTTGTTTCCAGATAAAGTTTATTTTATGAATTAATATTTAAATTAACGTTTAAATTATATTTTATTTTTCCTTTGTGGAGTTATTTTAAAGTGACATTCCTGCTCTTTTAAAATTACATTATTGCTCTTTGTAATTAAAAAAACATCTTAATAGTCTCATTTTTTGTAAAAAAAAATAAATAAATAAAAATAAATCAACATCTTTGACTTTATTATAAAAATCAAAACAACATTTTCTTATCTAGATTAAATTAATTTTAATTAAAAGCAAAATAAATATATATTTAGTTAAAATTGGCATATTTAGATTTTTATTGTTTGCATCAAAGCTGTTTGATTTTATCATCACAAACATCTGCACCTGCATTCTGGGATGGACAGATGTTCACTGTCAATTTTTTTTACATAAATTTTTATTTTTTTTTAATCAAGACATTTTAACAAATAAAACTTTTTTTTTTTTTTAGTTTTTTTTAAAAAAAAAAAAAAAAAAAAAAGATCGGAGATAATAATTAGATTTGAAATGGAAGCTTTTATTTTGAAAATGTCCTGAATGTTTTCTTCTACATATAAAGAATTTATTCATTCAAATCTATATATTTTATTTTTAATTTCGAGGACTGTTATGAGTGTTGCGTGTGTATTAAATGGTATATTGTCTTGCCGTACAGCATGTTTGTGGACTGACGGTGTTGAGGATTGATCTGATAAACGGGACAATAATTCAGAGTAAATTATCTTCAGCTCATTAGAGACGAGTCGTTTTCTAAACTACTATTGATTTCCATCTTTAGTGCCCGCTCGCTCCTCCTGTCCTCCTCCTGTCCTCCTTCAGCGCCGTCTCCTCCTTTTTGTCTCTTTTCAGCAGACTTTTCTCGTCTGTGCCGCGCCGTCATCCTCTCCTGTTTTTATTCCCGTCTTTAGTTTCATCTTCTCATCAGCAGCAGATTAATAATCCAATGTGCTCAGATCAGCAGAAATGATGACTCCGAGGTTTCTCCCCGTCTCCTCCTCCTTCATTTTCCTCCTCTCAGTCCTTCTTCGTCTCTCCTCCTCTCAGATGAGGGACAGATTTGGCAGTGTGCATAATTCATCATCCTTAATGCCGTTAGTATTGATCCGTCCCAGCGAGCGGAGCCTCCCACGGAGACACGAGGCGAACAAACTCAGATTCCTGTTTTTGAAAAAAGACGGAGTTTAACCTGATTTTCCTCCCGCCTGTAACTCGCTCTGACTGCAGCTCAGAAATGCATCGTATTGATTTTCATTTCATTTCTGCGTCTGCGAGTGGACAGGAACGTTTCCCGTTAGAGCGAGACGCCATTTCACAGAAAAGCCTCAGTTTGATGTGATTACAGACGCCGGGTGGCTCTGGGCTTTTTGTTCTGGGGGGAGCCGCACAGAACCAGGCTGAGGGCGAGTTACAAACTAAAGCTTTCAGACGGGCAATACTTTAATAAATGCGCGGCTTGAGGGAATGCATGTCGCCCGCCAGAGTTGTGTGATCTGTTGAGTTAGTCAAACTTTGACGTTTTGGGGTGTTCAGGTATTAAACCCAAACTGTCCTCTGCTCTGTCTGCAGGCCTTCGTAGCGACGGGCACCAACCTCTCTCTGCAGTTCTTTCCAGCCAACCTCCACGGGGACCAGAGGCAGGTCCCGACCAGGGAGTACGTCGACTTTGAAAGAGAGACGGGGAAGGTAGGAAGACCCATCGCTTCAAATCAGAGATTAAGTCAGACTTGGTGGAAAAAACAAACCTCATCCTCTGCCTCCTTCATTCATTCATTCATTCATTCATTCATGAGCTTGATTTGTTTTACTGATCAGGATCACTTCTAGGAACTGAGTCAAAATCTTGTTTTTATTTATTCAAATGACTTCTTGACGTCATTTGAAAGAGGAAACCTCGAACCAGATTTGGCTATCAGGATTTCTCAACTGAGGCTTCACGGTGGTGCAGTTGTTGGAGCTGCTGACTCAGCGTGCAGGTTGCCCTGGTTCGAATCCCAGCTGGGGGCCTCTCTGGGTGGAGTTTAAATGTTCTCTCGGTGCATGTGTGGGTTTTCTTCAGGTACTCTGGTTTCCTCCCACAGACCAAAAACATGCATGTTAGGCTGATCGGTAACTCTAATTGTTTCGAGGTGTGAGTGAGAGAGTGAATGGTTGTTTGTCTCGTTTGTCTCTATGTGTCCCTGTGATGGACTGGAGACCTGTCCAAGGTGTCCCCTGCCTCTCGCACAGTGGTGGCTGGACATGGGCACCAGTGACCCCCGCGACCCACAGGGAAAGGAGCAAAACATGACTTCCATCTTAGTGTAAGGCTGCATATGATGATTGATAGATAGATAGATAGATAGATAGATAGATAGGTAGGTAGATAGATAGATAGATAGATAGATAGATAGATAGATAGATAGATAGAT